AGTGTGTATCACAGTGTGTGTGTATCACAGTGTGTGTGTATCACAGTGTGTGTGTATCACAGTGTGTGTGTATCACAGTGTGTGTGTATCACACACACACGGCAAAACAACCCCCTACCTCCTCGCGGTGCCGGACGGGCAACTCTGTCGTGGACAGTGCTGTGGGGGGAGTTCCAATTTTGATTGGCTCCTCCCCTCATGGCATATGTGTCCACCACAGGGGCTAAACGGGGGCTCTGGACGGGTGCGAGGGGCTGGTAACCCCTCCACCTTCAATTAATTACCACAAAACCACGAATTAAAGTGAAATATGTAACAACTAAGCTTGTGCCGGAGGCCCCGGGGGGCCAGGCGTCTATGACGTCTCCTGGCCAAACCCCAATTGGCGGAGCCAGGAGATTGAATACCTACCCTCGGGGCTACTCCAGAAACAACGAAAAGCCACTACGGGTGGCCACGTGGAATGTTCGAACGCTCACTGCAGAGGAGAGGCTGCCACTCCTCTGTCGGGAGCTGGACCGGTACCGCCTGGATCTATGCGGCATTCAGGAGGTCCGGTGGACCGGCTCTGGCTCCTGCCACCATGAGGGGTGGACAGTCCTCTACTCGGGGCAGCAGACTGCCAAACAACAGGGTGTGGGTCTTCTTTTGAACAAAAGAATGAAGGGGGCGTGGGAGCGTGGCGGTGAGGTGTGGGAAGCTGTAAGCCCCAGGCTACTTTGGGCTCGCCTTCCCATCAACCGGAGGCGAGGAATGGTGGTCGTGGTTACTTATGCCCCCACCGAAGATGAACATCCGTGGAGGGATGCAGGCAAAGCCGATGAGTCAGATGCCTTCTATGACCTCCTGTCACAGGTGCTGGCTAAAGTGGCCCCTCGGGATAGAGTCATCATGTTGGGTGACTTCAATGCCCGAGTTGGTCATGATACTGGCACCTGGTCTGGAGTGATTGGAGGGCATGGGCCAGATCAGCTCAATAACAACGGTAGGAGGCTGCTAGATTTTTGTGCAGCCCATGGGCTTGTAATTACCAACACGCTGTTCCGGCATCGGCGCATCCACACAACATCATGGATGCATGCCGGGTCCAAGCAAGAACATCTGCTGGACTACATAGTGACGGACCAGCGAATGCGAGCCCATGTCCTTGACACCAGGACCTACCGTGGAGCTGATCTGCCCTCTGACCATCGACTAGTCATCTGTAGGATGCGCCTGCCATTCTTCCACTCCGGTGGTGGGTGTACACCCAGGACCCCATTCCAACCTAAAGTGGCCTGGTCTCAGTTATCTGATGAAAGTTGCAAGCGAGAATTTCATCATCGCTTGCGGCTGGGATTGGCATCGTCCCCGACTCCTCCTGATGTCGAGGGTAAATGGGCGAGGTTTAGGACTGTGACTCATGCAGCTGCAATGGCTGCTTTGGGTACGCGGTCCAGACCTCCCCAGACACCCTGGATGACAGAGGAGTTGTTCAGGATGGTTGAGAAAAAGCGACAGGCCCACTGTCATCGGCTACAGAATCCCACGTCAGAGAATGAGGAGGCTTACCGCAGCCTTCGCTCGGAGGTTCGGAGAGCCGTGAGGCGCTGCAAGGATGGGTGGTGGTCGCGGGTTGCTGAGGAGATGGAGTCTGCCTCAGTGGCCCGTGATCACAAATCGCTATTTAACTCCATCAAAAAAGTAACCTGCAGCGCCACACCTATTACCATCATTAGGGGAAAAAACGGTGATCCAATTTCCGACCCCCAGGAACAGGTTCGCAGATTTGCTGAGCATTTCTGTGAGGTCCTGGGGGAGGGAAAATCCCACAGCCAGGAAAACATCGTGGCACAAAGTGAGGATGACCCTGCTGAGGCTGCGGTGCCTCAAATATTGGATGAAGTCACCCCCTGTGAGTGGCTGGCTGAGGTGCCATCTGCTGAGGAAGTATTGAAGGCGATCCGGAGTCTGAGACCAGGAAAGGCAGCGGGCAGAGATGATCTCCCAAGCGAAATGCTGAGGGAGGGTGGCGTTTGTGCACAGACTGCCCTATATGACATCATAACAACAGTCTGGACCACTGGACGGGTTCCGCAGGATTGGAAGGATGCCCTGGTGGTCCCCCTTTTTAAGAAGGGGGACCGCACAGACTGTAACAACTACAGGGGCATCTCACTCCTCAGTGTGCCGGGAAATGTCCTGGCAAGGATTATTCAGCATCGCCTTGCCAGGCACGCTGAGGAGAGGCTTGCGGAGCCCCAATGCGGTTTCAGGAAAGGGCGGTCCTGCACAGATGCCATATTTTCTGTCCGTCTGATACAGCAGAGGTGTAGGGAATTCCAACAAGACCTACATCTCTGCTTTATTGACCTGGTCAAGGCCTATGATACCATCAGTAGGCCTGGGCTCTGGGTCGTTCTTCGTGCTTTTGGAGTACCTGACCCTCTGCTCACGATCATTAAGGACCTTCATGATGGTGAGCGGGCCCGGGTAAAACCACGTGGCCGGGAGTCAGAGCCATTCCCTGTACACCTTGGGGTGCGACAGGGATGTCCTCTGGCTCCCACATTATTTAACATCTATTTTGACCACGTAGTTCGTGAAGCCTTCAATAGCTGTACCGGGGGAATCTCCATATGGTACAGATATAATGGGAGGCTAATCGATGCCGGGTGCGGTCAAGGGATGGCTCCCTATTGCTCAACCACGTTATGTATGCTGATGACTTGGTAATAGCTGCTCAGTCAGAGGAGGAGTTGGAGACGCTGCTGCTGAGACTGGAGCGTGCCACTAAGAGGTGGGGCCTTACCATCAGCCCCACCAAAACTAAGCACCTGCCTGGGTATTTTGTACCATCGGACACTCCACCCCCACAACTCCCAATCGGTGATGGGGCAGTTGTGGAGAGAGTGGAGAGTTTCCCATACCTGGGCAGTGTGCTTATGACTGGCTCCAGTTTAACAGCAGAGGTCTCACTCCGAATCAGTCGAGCGGCAATATCTTTTCATCGGTTGCGTAACGCTGTGTGGAAGCTACCTGGTCTGTCGCTCCGCACTAAGCTTCAGGTCTTCTCGGCCACGGTCATTCCCTCCCTTCTCTACGCTTGCGAAACGTGGACCCCCCTAATGGAACATCTTCGCCGGTTAGAAACATTTAGGCTGACCTGCCTACGATCCATCCTGGGTTAACCAGACTGGATTGTGTGAGGAGCTCACAAATCCTTGAAAGATCTGGGCAGGGTCCCATCGGTGAGCTCCTCCGGCAGGCAAGGCTGCGATGGCTGGGTCATGTAGCCCGCATGCCCAGCCACCGCATGCCGAAACAGCTTTTGTTTGGCCGGATTGAGGGGGCTAAGCGGGCGCGGCACGGGCTAGAGAAGAGATGGAGTGATGTGGTACAGGAGGACGTGGAGCTGAGTGGACTTGCCGATGACTGGTACCAGCGGTGTCAAGATCGGCCTCTGTGGAGGAGGCTCGTGAAGGATGCTACTGGGCAGTTGGAGGCAGTCGCCCTCCAACAACAACGGAGGGCGGAGGAGCGACGCTCACAACAGCGAGCGGAGCGCCGGGTGGCTAAAGCACAGCAGGTTGGCACAGTAGGGGGCACAGGTGGTGCATCAGCCAGTCATCTCAGTCAGTCGACCCGTGGCACCTGGGTCTGCCCCGTGACCTCCTGCCAGCGGGCGTTCGACACTTCACGTGGCCTCAGGGTGCACATAGCCTGGCACAAGCGTCGTGGTGACGTCACCGCCACTTAGTGGCGAATGGCGGTTGTTGTTGTTGTTGTGTATCACAGTGTGTGTGTATCACAGTGTGTGTGTATCACAGTGTGTGTGTGTGTATCACAGTGTGTGTGTGTATCACAGTATGTGTATCACAGTGTGTGTATCACAGTGTGTGTGTGTGTATCACAGTGTGTGTGTATCACAGTGTGTGTGTGTGTGTATCACAGTGTGTGTGTGTGTATCACAGTGTGTGTGTATCACAGTGTGTGTATCACAGTGTGTATATCACAGTGTGTGTATCACAGTGTGTGTGTGTGTATCACAGTGTGTGTATCACAGTGTGTGTATCACAGTGTGTATCACAGTGTGTATCACAGTGTGTGTGTATCACAGTGTGTGTGTATCACAGTGTGTGTGTATCACAGTGTGTGTGTATCACAGTGTGTGTGTATCACAGTGTGTGTGTATCACAGTGTGTGTATCACAGTGTGTGTGTGTATCACAGTGTGTCTGTGTGTATCACAGTGTGTGTGTGTATCACAGTATGTGTATCACAGTGTGTGTATCACAGTGTGTGTGTGTGTGTATCACAGTGTGTGTGTATCACAGTGTGTGTGTGTATCACAGTGTGTGTGTGTGTGTATCACAGTGTGTGTGTATCACAGTGTGTGTATCACAGTGTGTATATCACAGTGTGTGTATCACAGTGTGTGTGTGTGTATCACAGTGTGTGTATCACAGTGTGTGTATCACAGTGTGTATCACAGTGTGTATCACAGTGTGTGTGTATCACAGTGTGTGTGTATCACAGTGTGTGTGTATCACAGTGTGTGTGTATCACAGTGTGTGTGTGTATCACAGTGTGTGTGTGTGTATCACAGTGTGTGTGTGTATCACAGTGTGTGTGTGTGTATCACAGTGTGTGTATCACAGTGTGTGTGTGTGCATCACAGTGTGTGTGTATCACAGTGTGTGTGTATATCACAGTGTGTATCACAGTGTGTGTGTATCACAGTGTATCACAGTGTGTGTGTATCACAGTGTGTGTGTATCACAGTGTGTATCACAGTGTGTGTGTATATCACAGTGATATACACTGTGATATACACACACACACAGTGTGTGTGTGTGTGTATCACAGTGTGTGTATATCACAGTGTGTGTGTATCACAGTGTGTGTGTATCACAGTGTGTGTGTATATCACAGTGATATACACTGTGATACACACACACAGTGTGTGTGTGTGTATCACAGTGTGTGTGTGTGTATCACAGTGTGTCTGTGTCTGTGTACCAGCTGAAGGCCCCACAGCGCTGGGCCTGTAGGCGGCGCTCTGCGTCACCCCTCGGCCCAGGGACAGCACGGGAGGCTCCTCCCCAAACTCCGCGCACATTACCTGGACGAGGCCCAGGACATCCGACGCCTGCACTCGCTCACGCACACACGCACCCACCTGGTGATACCTACACACAGTGATACATACACACAGTGATACATACAGAGATACACGCAGTGATACCTACACACAGTGATACATACACACAGTGATACACAGTGATACACACACAGTGATACACACAGTGATACACACACACAGTGATACATACACACAGTGATACATACACAGTGATATACACAGAGATACACACAGTGATACATACACACAGTGATACATACACACAGTGATACATACAGTGATACACACAGTGATACACACACAGTGATACACACACAGTGATACATACACATAGTGATATATACACACAGTGATACATACAGTGATACATACAGTGATACATACAGAGATACACACAGTGATACATACACACAGTGATACATACACACAGTGATACACACAGTGATACACACACAGTGATACACACAGTGATACACACACACAGTGATACATACAGTGATACATACAGTGATACACACACAGTGATACATACACATAGTGATATATACACACAGTGATACATACAGTGATACATACAGTGATACATACAGAGATACACACGGTGATACATACACACAGTGATACATACACACAGTGATACATACACAGTGATACACACAGTGATACACACACGGTGATACACACACACAGTGATACACACAGAGATGCACACAGTGATGCATACAGTGATACATACACACAGTGATACATACACACAGTGATACACACAGAGATACACACAGTGATACACACAGTGATACATACACACAGTGCAACACACGCAGTGATACATACACGCAGTGATACATACACACAGTGATACATGCACACAGTGATACATGCACACAGTGATACATACACATAGTGATACATACACATAGTGATACATACACACAGAGATACACACAGTGATACATACACACAGATACACACAGAGATACACACAGTGATACATACACACAGTGATACCTACACACAGTGATACATACACACAGAGATACACACACAGAGATATACACAGTGATACACACAGTGATACATACACACAATGCTACACACGCAGTGATACATACACATAGTGATACATACACGTAGTGATACATACACACATAGATACACACAGAGAGATACACACAGTGATACATACACACACAGATACACACTGAGATACACACAGTGATACATACACAGTGATACCTACACACAGTGATACATACACACACAGATACACACACAGAGATACACACAGTGATACATACACACAGTGATACCTACACACAGTGATACATACACATAGTGATATATGCACACGGCGATACACACACAGTGATACATACACACAGTGATGCACACAGTGATACATACACACAGTGATACACACAGTGATACATACACACGGTGATACACAGTCATACACACTGTGATACATACACAGTCATACACACACAGTGATACATACAGATACACACAGTGATACATACACACGATGATACATACACAGTCATACAAACAGTGATACATACACACAGTCATACACACAGATACACACACAGTCATACACACTGTGATACATACAGACAGTGATACACACACAGTGATACATAAACATGATTATACATACAGATACACACACAGTGATACATACACACGATGATACATACAGATACACACACAGTGATACATACACACAGTGATACATACACACAGTCATACACACGGATACACACACAGTCATACACACTGTGATACATACACACAGCGATACATACACAGTCATACACACGGATACACACACAGTCATACACACTGTGATACATACACACAGCGATACATACACACAGTCATACACACGGATACACACACAGTCATACACACTGTGATACATACACACAGCGATACATACACACAGTCATACACACGGATACACACACAGTCATACACACTGTGATACATACACACAGCGATACACACAAAGTGATACATACACATGATGATACACACAGTGATACACACACACAGTGATGCATACACATGATACATACACACAGTGATACATACACACAGTGATGCATACACAGATACACACACACAGAGTGATACCATGCACACACATGGATATATACATAGATACATACACACAGTGATACAGACACATATACATACACAGTGATACACACACACAGTGATACCATGCACACACATGGATACATACAGATACATACACACAGTGATACATACACAGATACATACACAGTGATACACACACAGTGATACATACACACGATACATACCGATACACACACACAGTGATACATACACATGATACATATACACAGTTATACATACACACAGTGATACCATGCACACACATGGATACATACAGATACATACACACAGTGATACATACAGATACACACACAGTGATACACACACACAGTGATACATCCACACAGTGATACATACACAGATACACACACAGATACATACACAGTGATACACACACAGTGATACCATGCACACACATGGATACATACAGATACATACACACAGTGATACACACACAGATACATACACAGTGCTACATACACACAGTGATACCATGCACACACATGGATACATACACACAGTGATACATACACACAGTGATACATACACAGATACATACACAGTGATACACACACACAGTGATACCATGCACACACATGGATACATACAGATACATACACACGGTGATACATACACAGATACATACACAGTGCTACATACACAGTGATACCATGCACACACATGGATACATACAGATACACACACACGGTGATGCATACACAGATACATACACACGATACATACACACAGTGATACATACACAGATACACACAGTGATACATACACACAGTGATACATACACAGATACATACTCACAGTGATACACACACAGTGATACACACACAGTGATACATACACAGATACATACACACAGTGATACATACACAGATACATACACACAGTGATACACACACACAGCGACACCATGCACACACAGTGATACATACACATACACACAGTGATACATACACACAGTGATACATACACACAGTGATACATACACACAGTGATACATACACAGATACATACACACAGTGATACACACACACACAGTGACACCATGCACACACAGTGATACATACACACAGTGATACATACACACAGTGATACCATGCACACAGTGATACCATGCACACAGTGATACATACACACAGTGATACATACACAGTAACGTGTCACGATTGCATGCACCAATTGCGAGTAGCGATTGCGAGGGGTTGCGGTTGCGATTGCGAGGGGTTGCGGTTGCGTGTGGTTATTGTGAGCGTTAGCGATTGGCTATTGCGAGCGGCAGTGATCGTGAGGAGCGACCGCGTGTGGCTATTACGAGCGCCTGCAGTTGCGAGCGGCGGTTGCGAGCGGTGGTTGTGATTGCGAGCGGCGGTTGCGAGCGGTGGTTGTGATTGCGAGCGGCGGTTGCGAGCGGTGGTTGTGATTGTGAGCGGCGGTTGTGGTTGCGAGCGGTGGTTGTGATTGCGAGCGGTGGTTGCGAGCGGTGGTTGTGATTGCGAGCGGCGGTTGCGAGCGGGTGGTTGCGAGCGTTTGCGATTGCGAGCGGTGGTTGCGAGCGGTGGTTGCGAGCGGTGGTTGCGAGCGTCTGTGATTGCGAGCGGTGGTTGTGATTGCGAGCGGTGGTTGTGGTTGCGAGCGGTGGTTGTGATTGCGAGCGGTGGTTGCGACGGTGGTTGTGATTGCGAGCGGTGGTTGCGAGCGGTGGTTGCGAGCGGTGGGTTGCGAGCGTCTGTGATTGCGAGCGGTGGTTGTGGTTGCGAGCGGTGGTTGTGATTGCGAGCGGTGGTTGCGAGCGGTGGTTGCGATTGCAGTGGTGGTTGCGAGCGGTGGTTGCGAGCGGTGGTTGTGATTGCGAGCGGTGGTTGCGAGCGGTGGTTGTGATTGCGAGCGGCGGTTGCGAGCGGTGGTTGTGATTGCGGTGGTGGTTTGCGAGCGGTGGTTGTGATTGCGGTGGTGGTTGCGAGCGGTGGTTGTGATTGCGAGCGGTGGTTGTGATTGCGAGCGGCGGTTGTGATTGCGAGCGGTGGTTGTGATTGCGAGCGGTGGTTGCGAGCGGTGGTTGTGATTGCGAGCGGACGGTTGCGAGCGGTGGTTGCGAGCGTTTGCGATTGCGAGCGGTGGTTGCGAGCGTGGTTGCGAGCGGTGGTTGCGAGCGGTGGTTGTGATTGCGAGCGGTGGTTGCGAGCGGTGGTTGTGATTGCGAGCGGCGGTTGCGAGCGGTGGTTGTGATTGCGAGCGGCGGTTGCGAGCGGTGGTTGTGATTGCGAGCGGCGGTTGTGATTGCGAGCGGTGGTTGTGATTGCGAGCGGTGGTTGCGAGCGGTGGTTGTGATTGCGAGCGGCGGTTGCGAGCGTGGTTGCGAGCGTTTGCGATTGCGAGCGGTGGTTGCGAGCGGTGGTTGCGAGCGGTGGTTGCGAGCGTCTGTGATTGCGAGCGGTGTGTTGTGATTGCGAGCGGTGGTTGTGGTTGCGAGCGGTGGTTGTGATTGCGAGCGGTGGTTGCGACGGTGGTTGTGATTGCGAGCGGTGGTTGCGAGCGGTGGTTGCGAGCGGTGGTTGCGAGCGTCTGTGATTGCGAGCGGTGGTTGTGGTTGCGAGCGGTGGTTGTGATTGCGAGCGGTGGTTGCGAGCGGTGGTTGCGATTGCAGTGGTGGTTGCGAGCGGTGGTTGCGAGCGGTGGTTGTGATTGCGAGCGGTGGTTGCGAGCGGTGGTTGTGATTGCGAGCGGCGGTTGCGAGCGGTGGTTGTGATTGCGGTGGTGGTTGCGAGCGGTGGTTGTGATTGCGGTGGTGGTTGCGAGCGGTGGTTGTGATTGCGAGCGGTGGTTGTGATTGCGAGCGGCGGTTGTGATTGCGAGCGGTGGTTGTGATTGCGAGCGGTGGTTGCGAGCGGTGGTTGTGATTGCGAGCGGCGGTTGCGAGCGGTGGTTGCGAGCGTTTGCGATTGCGAGCGGTGGTTGCGAGCGGTGGTTGCGAGCGGTGGTTGCGAGCGGTGGTTGTGATTGCGAGCGGTGGTTGCGAGCGGTGGTTGCGAGCGTCTGTGATTGCGAGCGGTGGTTGTGATTGCGAGCGGTGGTTGTGGTTGCGAGCGGTGGTTGTGATTGCGAGCGGTGGTTGCGACGGTGGTTGTGATTGCGAGCGGTGGTTGCGAGCGGTGGTTGCGAGCGGTGGTTGCGAGCGTCTGTGATTGCGAGCGGTGGTTGTGGTTGCGAGCGGTGGTTGTGATTGCGAGCGGTGGTTGCGAGCGGTGGTTGTGATTGCGAGCGGTGGTTGCGAGCGGTGGTTGTGATTGCGAGCGGTGGTTGCGAGCGGTGGTTGTGATTGCGAGCGGCGGTTGCGAGCGGTGGTTGTGATTGCGGTGGTGGTTGCGAGCGGTGGTTGTGATTGCGGTGGTGGTTGCGAGCGGTGGTTGCGAGCGGTGGTTGTGATTGCGAGCGGTGGTTGCGAGCGGTGATTGTGATTGCGAGCGGTGGTTGCGAGCGGTGGTTGTGATTGCGGTGGTGGTTGCGTGCGCACCGCTCCCCACTCGCTGAGGTAGGGAAGGTAGACGCGTCCGTTAGAGTCCACCCTGCAGCTGGGGCGGATCATCATGGAGGCCGTCGGGCGTACGAACGAGAGGGGGGGGGTGGGCCGGGTGAGAGTCCAATAGCCAGAGCTCCACGGGGATGTTGTACACACAGCCTGCAGAGAGATACACACAGAGAGATACACACAGATACACACACAGAGATACACACACAGAGATACACACACACAGAGCTCCACGGGGATGTTGTACACACAGCCTGCAGAGAGATACACACAGAGAGATACACACACAGATACACACACAGAGATACACACACAGAGATACACACAGAGAGATACACACAGAGAGATACACAGAGATACACACACAGAGATACACACACACAGAGCTCCACGGGGATGTTGTACACACAGCCTGCAGAGAGATATAGAGAGATATACACACACAGATATACACACAGATATATAGAGATACACACACAGAGCTCCACGGGGATGTTGTACACACAGCCTGCAGAGAGATACACACAGAGAGATACACAGAGATACACACACAGAGATACACACACAGAGATACACACACACAGAGCTCCACGGGGATGTTGTACACACAGCCTGCAGAGAGATACACACAGAGAGATACACACACAGATACACACACAGAGATACACACACAGAGATACACACAGAGAGATACACACAGAGAGATACACAGAGATACACACACAGAGATACACACACACAGAGCTCCACGGGGATGTTGTACACACAGCCTGCAGAGAGATACACACAGAGAGATACACAGAGATACACACACAGAGATACACACACACAGAGAGCTCCACGGGGATGTTGTATACACAGCCTGCAGAGAGATACACACAGAGAGATACACAGAGATACACACACAGAGATACACACACACAGAGCTCCACGGGGATGTTGTACACACAGCCTGCAGAGAGATACACACAGAGAGATACACAGAGATACACACACACAGAGCTCCACGGGGATGTTGTACACACAGCCTGCAGAGAGATACACACAGAGACACACACAGAGATACACACACAGAGATACACACACACAGAGCTCCACAGGGATGTTGTACACACAGCCTGCAGAGAGATACACACAGAGAGATACACAGAGATACACACACACAGAGCTCCACGGGGATGTTGTATACACAGCCTGCAGAGAGATACACACAGAGAGATACACAGAGATACACACACAGAGATACACACACACAGAGCTCCACGGGGATGTTGTACACACAGCCTGCAGAGAGATACACACAGAGAGATACACAGAGATACACACACACAGAGATACACACAGAGATACACACAGATATACAGAGATACACACACACAGAGAGCTCCACGGGGATGTTGTACACACAGCCTGCAGAGAGATACACACAGAGACACACACAGAGATACACACACAGAGATACACACACACAGAGCTCCACAGGGATGTTGTACACACAGCCTGCAGAGAGATACACACAGAGAGATACACAGAGATACACACACACAGAGATACACACAGAGATACACACAGATATACAGAGATACACACACACAGAGCTCCACGGGGATGTTGTACACACAGCCTGCAGAGAGATATAGAGAGATATACACACAGATATACAGAGATACACACACACAGAGAGCTCCACGGGGATGTTGTACACACAGCCTGCAGAGAGATACACACAGAGAGATACACGGAGATATACAGAGATACACACACACAGAGCTCCACGGGGATGTTGTACACACAGCCTGCAGAGAGATACACAGAGACACACACAGAGATACACACACACAGAGCTCCACGGGGATGTTGTACACACAGCCTGCAGAGAGATACACACAGAGACACACACAGAGATACACACACAGAGATACACACACACAGAGCTCCACAGGGATGTTGTACACACAGCCTGCAGAGAGATACACACAGAGAGATACACAGAGATACACACACACAGAGATACACACAGAGATACACACAGATATACAGAGATACACACACACAGAGCTCCACGGGGATGTTGTACACACAGCCTGCAGAGAGATACACACAGAGAGATACACGGAGATATACAGAGATACACACACACAGAGCTCCACGGGGATGTTGTACACACAGCCTGCAGAGAGATACACACAGAGAGATACACGGAGATATACAGAGATACACACACACAGAGCTCCACGGGGATGTTGTACACACAGCCTGCAGAGAGATACACACAGAGAGATACACGGAGATATACAGAGATATACAGAGATATACACACAGAGAGCTCCACGGGGATGTTGTACACACAGCCTGCAGAGAGATACACACAGAGAGATACACAGAGATATACAGAGATACACACACACAGAGCTCCACGGGGATGTTGTACACACAGCCTGGAGAGATACATACACACAGAGAGATACACACACAGAGATACACACACAGTCGAAACGTCGTGAGAATTTAATTGTTTTATATTTTTATTATTATATTGTTTCCCTTCTACGTGACTTTACCGAAAGAACCAAGAATATGAATCCCTGCAGTCACGAAAGCTTTAAATCAAAATTTAAAAGGTAGGGGGTTGTTTTGACGGAATATATACACACACATATATCTATATGCACACACAGAGATACATACACACAGAGATACACACACAGATTAATACACAGCTATCCAAACACACAGATATACAGAGATATACACACAGAGATATACACACAGAGATAAACACACAAGAGATACGCACACAGAGATGTATGGAGGGATGAGTCTAATAGCCAGAGCTCCACGCGGATGTTGTACACACAGCCTGTACAGAGATAAACACACAGAGATATACACACAGATACACACACACAGCTATATAGATACACAACAACCACGATCTGCCACTAAGTGGCGGTGACGTCACCACGGCTCCTAAGCCAGGCTAGGTGCACTCAAAGGCCACGTGAAGTGTCCAACGCCCGCTGGCAGGAGGCCACGTGTACACACTCACTAACATACTCACACACACACACACTCGTGTACACACTCACACACACACGTGTACACACACACACACGTGTACACACTCACTAACACACACCTACACACACACACACTCGTGTACACACTCACACACACACGTGTACACACACACACACGTGTACACACTCACTAACATACACCTACACACACCCACACGTATACACTCACTAACACGTGTACACACTCACACACACACGTGTACACACATACGCGCGTGTACACTCACTAACACGTGTACACACTCACACAAAGATAAACAAAGATCCCCCATATAGCCTTAACAGACTGTAGGGGCAAGTGGTGTTAGCGAGCACCTTTGAAGGCCAGAACGGTACACGAGGGGGTGGGTGGCCAGCACCACGCCCGACCGCCTTTGTCTCCCTAGTGGCAATGTTTACACACCGCACCAGGTACTCATTTTAGGCTGAGTCGACCTAGGGGAGGCCCGGGACCGGTTCAGACAATCGTCACTGGTGTTGGCCGTGAGCGGGAATCGAACCCGGGTCGGCAGGTTCATAGCGCAGCGCGCTAACCGCTACACTACCGCTCCCCACCCACTCACACACACACGTGTACACACACACGCGCGTGTACACAAACTCGCACACACACCCACCTCTGTACGTAACAGGAATTGTGCCGCTCAACTTGAGCAGATCTTTACACGAGCCGTCATTGAAATCTACACAGAGAGACAGGGAGACACGGCGGTGGTGGTGATGGTGGTGGTGGTGGTGATGGTGGTGGTGGTGGTGATGGTGGTGGTGATGGTGGTGGTGATGGTGGTGGTGATGGCGGTGGTGATGGTGGTGGCGATGGTGATTATGGCGGTGATGGCGGTGGTGACAGTGATGGTGGCGGTGATGATGGTGGCGATGATGGTGTTGATGGTGGTGGTGATGGCGATTTATGAAGGTTGTGATGATAACAATGATGTACATCATGAAGATGATAAGAACAATGATGTTAATGATTCTACTGATGATGCTACTTCAACTGATGCTGCTGTTTCTGATGATTCTGCTGACAATGATCTTGCTCATGATGCTGATGATATTTATGATTCTGCTGCTTCGGCTGATGCTGCTGATGATGTTGGTGCTTTGGCTGATGCTGCTGATGATGCTGATGATCCTGATGATGCTGCTGCTTCAGCTGATGCTGCTGATTCTGATGCTGCTTCGGCTGATCCTGCTGATGATTCTGTTGCGTCAGCTGATGCTGCTGATTATTCTGCTGCTTCCGCTGATGCTGCTGATGCTGCTGATGATTCTGCTGCTTCCGCTGATGCTGATGATGCTGCTCCTTCGGCTGATGCTGCTGATGATGCTGCTGATGCTGATGATGCTGCTGATGCTGCTGATGATGATGCGGGTCTCACTGTAGGTGTCTTGGGAAGGAATGAGGTTCGGGAAAATCTCCGTCACAGCCACCACGTCCTTCAGCGCCACGTCCTTGTGCTTGTACTGGCCGCACACAAACACACGAAGACAGATACACAACACACCAACACAACAACACACTTAGACAAACACACAGGGACACACACACAGACACAACACACCAACACAACAACACTTAGACAAACACACAGGGACACACACACAGACACACAACACACCAACACACAACACACTTAGACAAACACACAGGGACACACAGACACACAACACACAAAAACAGACACACAACACACCAACACAACAACACACTTAGACAAACACACACACAGACACACAGCACACCAACACACAACACACGTAAATACAGACACACAACACAACAACACACTTAGACACACAGGGACACACACACACAACACACGTAAATACAGACACACAGGGATACACACACAGACACAAAACACACCAACACATTTAGACAGACACACACAGACACCAACACAATTAGACAAAGACACACACACAGGCACACACACAGAGACACACACAGACACCAACACACTTAGACACACACAACAACAACCGCCATTCGCCACTAAGTGGCGGTGACGTCACCACGACGCTTGTGCCAGGCTATGTGCACCCTGAGGCCACGTGAAGTGTCGAACGCCCGCTGGCAGGAGGTCACGGGGCAGACCCAGGTGCCACGGGTCGACTGACTGAGATGACTGGCTGATGCACCACCTGTGCCCCCTACTGTGCCAACCTGCTGTGCTTTAGCCACCCGGCACTCCGCTCGTTGTTGTGAGCGTCGCTCCTCCGCCCTCCGTTGTTGTTGGAGGGCGACTACCTCCAACTGCCCAGTAGCATCCTTCACGAACCTCCTCCACAGAGGCCGATCTTGACACTGCTGGTACCAGTCATCGGCAAGTCCACTCAGCTCCACGTCCTCCTGTACCACATCACTCCATCTCTTCTCTAGCCCGTGACGCGCCCGCTTAGCCCCCTCAACCCGGCCAAACAAAAGCTGTTTCGGCATGCGGTGGCTGGGCATGCGGGCTACATGACCCAGCCATCGCAGCCTTGCCCGCCGGAGGAGCTCACCGATGGGACCCTGCCCAGATCTTTCAAGGATTTGTGAGCTCCTCACACAATCCAGTCCTGGTTAAAACCAGGATGGATCGTAGGCAGGCCAGCCTAAATGTTTCTAACCGGCGAAGATGTTCCATTAGGGGGGTCCACGTTTCGCAAGCGTAGAGAAGGGAGGGAATGACCGTGGCCGAGAAGACCTGAAGCTAGTGCGGAGCGACAGACCAGGTAGCTTCCACACAGCGTTACGCAACCGATGAAAAGATATTGCCGCTCGACTGATTCGGAGTGAGACCTCTGCTGTTTCCCATACCTGGGCAGCACACTGCCCAGGTATGGGAAACTCTCCACTCTCTCCACAACTGCCCCATCACCGATTGGGAGTTGTGGGGGTGGAGTGTCCGATGGTACAAAATACCCAGGCAGGTGCTTAGTTTTGGTGGGGCTGATGGTAAGGCCCCACCTCTTAGTGGCACGCTCCAGTCTCAGCAGCAGCGTCTCCAACTCCTCCTCTGACTGAGCAGCTATTACCAAATCATCGGCATACATAACGTGGTTGAGAGACACACACACATAGACACACACACAGACACCAACACACATAGACACACACACAGACACCAACACACTTAGACAGAGACACACACAGACACCAACACACTTAGACACAGACACACAGACACCAACACACTTAGACAGAGACACACACAGACACCAACACACTTAGACACAGACACACACAGACACCAACACACTTAGACAGAGACACACAGACACCAACACACTTAGACAGAGACACACACAGACACCATCACACTTAGACACAGACACACACAGACACCAACACACTTAGACACAGACACACACAAACACCATCACACTTAGACACAGGCACACACAGACACCAACACACTTAGACAGAGACACACACAGACACCAACACACTTAGACACAGACACACACAGACACCAACACACTTAGACAGAGACACACACAGACACCAACACACTTAGACACAGACACACACAGACACCAACACACTTAGACAGAGACACACACTGACACCAACACACTTAGACAGAGACACACACAGACACACACAGACAGAGACACACAGACACACACAGAGACAGACACAGACACCAACACACTTAGACACAGACACACACAGACACCAACACACTTAGACACAGACACACACAGACACCATCACACTTAGACAGAGACACACACAGACACCAACACACTTAGACACAGACACACACAGACACACACAGAGACAGACACAGACACCAACACACTTATACAGTTACCTTGTTAACAAGTTACCTCGTTAACAAGGTAACTTGCTAACAAGTTACCTTGTTAACAAGTTACCTCGCTAACTCGTCACCTTGTTAACAAGTTACCTTGTTGGTTAGCTCGCTAACTCGTTACCTTGTTAACAAGTTACCTTGTTGGTTACCTCGCTAACTCGTTACCTTGTTAACAAGTTACCCTGTTGGTTACCTCGCTAACTCGTTACCTTGTTAACAAGTTACCTTGTTGGTTAGCTCGCTAACTCGTTACCTTGTTAACAAGTTACCTTGTTGGTTACCTCGCTAACTCGCTAACTCGTTAACAAGTTACCCTGTTAACAAGTTACCTTGTTGGTTACCTCGCTAACTCGCTAACTCGTTAACGCGTTACCTTGTTAACAAGTTACCTCGCTAACTCGTTACCTTGTTAACAAGTTACCTCGCTAACTCGCTAACTCGTTAACGCGTTACCTTGCTCATGATCTTCTTGAGCAACGCCTTGCTGCTCGGTGCTGCCATCGCTGTGCGAGCAGCGCGCCGTGTTCGGCTGTGTTCCTGCGAGAGGTTAACTCGTTAACAAGTTAACCCTCTAACTCGTTAACAAGTTAACAAGTTATCAAGTTAACAACTCGCTCACTCTCAGCAGAGGGAGCGGATGTTTCGGGAAGTGACGTCACCGTAAATATTAGAGCTCCCGTTTTTTTTTAATTCGGAAGATCTCTACCGTCTTCCGGAAGACATCATCTACCCCTTCCGGAAGACATTGAGCTGCCCTCTTCTGGAAGACGTAATCTACCTCTTCCGGAAGAAATAATCTACCCCTTCCGGAAGAAGCGAGCTGCCCTCTTCTGGAGGACGTACTCTACCTCTTCCGGAAGATATGATCTACGTCTTCCGGAAGACGTGGATTGCCTCTCTCTGGAAGTCGTTGGTCTACCTCTTCCGGAAGACGTAATCTGCCTTCTTCCGGAAGAGGCCCTCCTTGCCAAATTAGTGAATTGATCGAAGGCGTCTTCCGGAAGATATGAACTTCCGGCGGAAGGCGTATTCCGGAAGTACCAGTCTTCCGGAAGATATGAACTTCCGGCGGAAGGCGTATTCCGGAAGTACCAGTCTTCCGGAAGATATGAACTTCCGGCGGAAGGCGTATTCCGGAAGTACTAGTCTTCTGGAAGATGTCTACCATTCGTTCATAAACACCGGCGAAAGACGTCTTCCGGAAGAGGAGCATCGCGCTTCGGTTGAACCCTGAGAATCGCACGGCTCACCTGAGTCACGTGACGCCCACCCTCTCTCACCTGGAGGTCGCCGTTGATGTTCACGCGTAAACCTTTTTTATATTTATACAAAATCACACCTCTACACACACCTACACACACCTACACACACTACACACCACACACACACCTATACACACCTACACACCTCTACACACCTACACCTTCACACACCTCTACACACCTCCACACACCTCTACACACCTCTACACACACCTCTACACACCTCCACACACACCTCCACACACCTCTACACACCTCTACACACACCTCTACACACCTACACACACCTCCACACACCTCCACACACACACCTCTACACACACCTCTACACACCTCTACACACCTCCACACACCTCCACACACACACCTCTACACACCTCTACACACACCTCTACACACCTCTACACACCTCTACACACCTCTACACACACCTCTACAAACACCTCTACACACCTCTACACACCTCTACACACCTCTACACACCTCTACACACCTCTACACACCTCTACACACCTCTACACACCTCTACACACCTCTACACACACCTACACACACCTCTACACACCTCTCCACACTACAAACCTCTACACACCTCTACACACCTCTACACACCTCTACACACCTCTACACACACCTACACACCTCTACACACACCTCTACACACCTCTACACACCTCTACACACCTCTACACACCTCTACACACCTCTACACACCTCTACACACCTCTACACACACCTCTACACACCTCTACACACTACACACCACACACACACCTACACACACCTACACACACCTACACACCTCTACACACCTCTACACACACCTCTACACACACCGCTAAACACACCTCTACACACCTACACCTCCACACACCTCTACACACCTCCACACACCTACACACACCTCTACACACCTACACACACCTCTACACACACCTCTACACACCTACACCTCCACACACCTCTACACACCTCCACACACCTCTACACACACCTCTACACACCTCTACACACACCTCTACACACACCTCTACACACACCTACACACACCTACACACACCTCTACACACACCTCTACACACACCTCTACACACCTCTACACACACCTACACACACCTCTACACACCTCTACACACACCTACACACACACCTCTACACACACCTCTATACACCTCCACACATCTACACACACACCTCTACACACACCTCCACACACTACACACACACCTCTACACACACCTACACACACCTACACACCTCTACACACTACACACCACACACACACCTATACACACCTCTACACACCTACACCTTCACACACCTCTACACACCTCCACACACCTCTACACACCTCTACACACACCTCTACACACCTACACACACCTCCACACACACACCTCTACACACACCTCTACACACCTCTACACACCTCCACACACCTCCACACACACACCTCTACACACCTCTACACACACCTCTACACACCTCTACACACACCTCTACACACCTCTACAAACACCTCTACACACCTACACACACCTCCACACACCTCTACACACCTACACACACCTCTACACACCTCTACACACCTCTACACACACCTCTACACACCTCTACACACCTCTACACACACCTCTACACACCTCTACACACACCTCTACACACACCTCTACACACTACACACCTCTACACACACCTCTACCCACCTCCACACACCTCTACACACCTACACACACCTCTACACACACACCTACACACCTCTACACACCTCCACGCACACACCTTCACACACACCTTCACACACCTCTACACACACCTCTACATACACCTCTACACACACCTCTACACACACCTCTACATACACCTCTACACACACACCTACACACACCTCTACACACCCTACACACCTCCACACACACCTCTACACACACCTCTACACACCTCTACACACCTACACACACACCTCTACACACACCTCCACACACACCTCTACACACACCTACACACACCTACACACACCTCTACACACCTACACACACCTCTACACACACCTACACACACCTACACACACCTACACACATCTCTACACACATCTCTACACACCTACACACACCTCTACACACCTACACACACCTCTACACACCTCTACACACACCTACACACACCTACACACACACCTATACACACCTCTACACACACCTCTACACACACCTTCACACACACCTCTACACACACCTCCACACACCTTCACACACACCTCCACACACCTTCACACACACCTCCACACACCTCTACACACCTCTACACACACCTCTACACACTACACACCTCTACACACACCTCTACCCACCTCCACACACCTCTACACCCGAGATGATAAACCATTTCGGGTCTTAATTGATTGTTCACGCTCACGGTGGCTTTCTGACCGCATCCATTATTATCGTCTCCCCTCTCCTTTTTTCTGAACATTGATGGACTCGTCCATCTGAATGAAGAACTGTCAAATCGCTCTCCGTGGTGCTAACGTTTAAAAAAAAACCCGCCACTTTTTTCAAATTTTCCTGCTGTGGCTTTCACACCTGATGATGATTGCTTGTGTTGCAGTCGAAACGTCGTGAGAATTGTATTGTTTTATATTTTTATTATTTTATTGTTTCCCTTCTACGTGACTTTACCGAAAGAACCAAGAATATTTGGTTGGTGCTGTTCGTTGCTTGACGTTTAGGACCTCTGAACCCACAATTTCACACCCTGCCTCTCTCTCTGTGTCCATGGCGGTTAAGGGCACGGTGGTGGTGGTGGTGGTTGGTGCTGATCTGAAGGTTCAAGCGTCCAGCTTACAAAGGCGATCGTCATGGTGAGTCACAGCAACCTGGGAGACTTGTGGAGAGTCGGGGTGTAGAGACTCAGTGGGTGGGTGAGTAGGTGAGTGAGTGAGTGGGTGAGTAGGTGAGTGAGTGAGTGGGTGAGTGAGTGGGTGGGTGAGTAGGTGAGTGAGTGGGTAGATGGATGGATGAGTGGGTACGTTGGCGGGTGAGTGGGTAAGCGGGTGGGTGGTTGAGTGGGTGGGTGACTGAGTGGGTAAGCGGGTGGGTGAGTGTGGGTGAGTGTGGGTGACTGAGTGTGGGTGACTGAGTGTGGGTGACTGAGTGTGGGTGAGTGTGGTTGAGTGTGGGTGAGTGTGGGTAAGCGGGTGGGTGAGTGTGGGTGACTCAGTGTGGGTGAGTGTGGGTGAGTGTGGGTGACTGAGTGTGGGTGACTGAGTGTTGGTGACTGAGTGTGGGTGACTGAGTGTGGGTGACTGAGTGTGGGTGAGTGTGGTTGAGTGTGGGTGAGTGTGGGTAAGCGGGTGGGTGAGTGTGGGTGACTCAGTGTGGGTGAGTGTGGGTGAGTGAGTGTGGGTGACTGAGCGAGTGAATGAACGGTGACCCTCCCCCCTCGTCCCGTGCGTGTGTCCAGGCGGAGAAGAAGAAGAAGAAGGAGGAGGAGGGTGGTGGTGGTGGTGGAGGTGGTGGTGGTGGTGGTGGCGGCGTCTCAGCCCTGCAGGCTCTGCAGCGCGACACCGAGGGCCTGGTGGACGCCATGAGGGACAATGTGGAGCGCGTCGCCCAGCGTGGCGACAACGTCGACCGCCTACTGGAGAAGGGCGAGCAGCTGGACCAGACCGTACGCTCACCGCCGCTCACCACCGCTCACCACCGCTCACCGCTCACCACATCCTCACCACCGCTCACCACCACTCACCACCACTCACCGCTCACCACCACTCACCACGTCCTCACCACCGCTCACCACCACTCACCACCACTCACCGCTCACCACGTCCTCACCACGTCCTCACCACGTCCTCACCACCACCACCGCTCACAGCTTGCTCACCACCGCCACCGCTCACCTCATCCTCACCACCGCGTCACGATGACCGTGCTGTTCTCTGTGAGTGGTGTAGTGGTGTAGTGGTGTAGTGGTGTCGTGGTGTAGTGGTGTCTTGGTGTAGTGGTGTAGTGGTGTCTTGGTGTCGTGGTGTAGTGGTGTCGTGGTGTAGTGGTGTAGTGGTGTCGTGGTGTTGTGGTGTAGTGGTGTCTTGGTGTAGTGGTGTCTTGGTGTAGTGGTGTAGTGGTGTCGTGGTGTAGTGGTGTCTTGGTGTAGTGGTGTCGTGGTGTAGTGGTGTCGTGGTGTAGTGGTGTCGTGGTGTAGTGGTGTCGTGGTGTAGTGGTGTCTTGGTGTCGTGGTGTCTTGGTGTCTTGGTGTCTTGGTGTAGTGGTGTCTTGGTGTAGTGGTGTCTTGGTGTAGTGGTGTCTTGGTGTCGTGGTGTAGTGGTGTCTTGGTGTAGTGGTGTCGTGGTGTAGCAGTGTCTTGGTGTAGCAGTGTAGTGGTGTAGTGGTGTAGTGGTGTCGTGGTGTAGTGGTGTAGTGGTGTCGTGGTGTAGTGGTGTAATGGTGTCTTGGTGTAGTGGTGTAGTGGTGTCGTGGTGTAGTGGTGTAGTGGTGTCGTGGTGTAGTGGTGTAGTGGTGTCTTGGTGTAGTGGTGTCTTGGTGTAGTGGTGTAGTGGTGTCGTGGTGTCGTGGTGTAGTGGTGTAGTGGTGTAGCGGTGTAGTGGTGTCGTGGTGTAGTGGTGTAGTGGTGTAGTGGTGTCTTGGTGTAGTGGTGTAGCGGTGTCGTGGTGTAGTGGTGTCGTGGTGTAGTGGTGTAGCGGTGTAGTGGTGTCGTGGTGTCTTGGTGTAGTGGTGTAGTGGTGTCGTGGTGTCTTGGTGTAGTGGTGTAGTGGTGTCTTGGTGTAATGGTGTAGCGGGATAGTGGTGTAGTGGTGTCTTGGTGTAGTGGTGTAGCGGTGTAGCGGTGTAGTGGTTGTCTTGGTGTAGTGGTGTCCGTGGTGTAGTGGTGTAGTGGTGTCTTGGTGTAGTGGTGTAGTGGTGTCTTGGTGTAGTGGTGTAGTGGTGTCTTGGTGTAGTGGTGTAGTGGTGTCTTGGTGTAGTGGTGTAGTGGTGTCTTGGTGTAGTGGTGTAGTGGTGTCTTGGTGTAGTGGTGTAGTGGTGTCTTGGTGTAGTGGTGTAGTGGTGTCTTGGTGTAGGGGTGTAGTGGTGTCTTGGTGTAGTGGTGTAGTGGTGTCTTGGTGTAGTGGTGTCGTGGTGTAGTGGTGTCTTGGTGTAGTGGTGTAGTGGTGTCGTGGTGTAGTGGTGTCTTGGTGTAGTGGTGTAGTGGTGTCTTGGTGTAGTGGTGTAGTGGTGTCTTGGTGTAGTGGTGTAGTGGTGTCTTGGTGTAGTGGTGTAGTGGTGTAGTGGTGTCTTGGTGTAGTGGTGTAGTGGTGTCTTGGTGTAGTGGTGTAGTGGTGTAGTGGTGTCTTGGTGTAGTGGTGTAGTGGTGTCTTGGTGTAGTGGTGTAGTGGTGTCTTGGTGTCTTGGTGTAGTGGTGTGGTGGTGTCGTGGTGTAGTGTGTCTTGGTGTAGTGGTGTAGTGGTGTCTTGGTGTATTGGTGTAGTGGTGTCTTGGTGTCTTGGTGTAGTGGTGTAGTGGTGTCTTGGTGTCGTGGTGTCTTGGTGTCTTGGTGTCTTGGTGTAGTGGTGTCTTGGTGTAGTGGTGTCTTGGTGTAGTGGTGTCTTGGTGTCGTGGTGTAGTGGTGTCTTGGTGTAGTGGTGTCGTGGTGTAGCAGTGTCTTGGTGTAGCAGTGTAGTGGTGTAGTGGTGTAGTGGTGTCGTGGTGTAGTGGTGTAGTGGTGTCGTGGTGTAGTGGTGTAGTGGTGTCTTGGTGTAGTGGTGTAGTGGTGTCGTGGTGTAGTGGTGTAGTGGTGTCGTGGTGTAGTGGTGTAGTGGTGTCTTGGTGTAGTGGTGTCTTGGTGTAGTGGTGTAGTGGTGTCGTGGTGTCGTGGTGTAGTGGTGTAGTGGTGTAGCGGTGTAGTGGTGTCCGTGGTGTAGTGGTGTAGTGGTGTAGTGGGTCTTGGTGTAGTGGTGTAGCAGGTGTCGTGGTGTAGTGGTGTCGTGGTGTAGTGTGTAGCGGTGTAGTGGTGTCGTGGTGTCTTGGTGTAGTGGTGTAGTGGTGTCGTGGTGTCTTGGTGTAGTGGTGTAGTGGTGTCTTGGTGTAATGGTGTAGCGGGATAGTGGTGTAGTGGTGTCTTGGTGTAGTGGTGTAGCGGTGTAGCGGTGTAGTGGTGTCTTGGTGTAGTGGTGTCTTGGTGTAGTGGTGTAGTGGTGTCTTGGTGTAGTGGTGTAGTGGTGTCTTGGTGTAGTGGTGTAGTGGTGTCTTGGTGTAGTGGTGTAGTGGTGTCTTGGTGTAGTGGTGTAGTGGTGTCTTGGTGTAGTGGTGTAGTGGTGTCTTGGTGTAGTGGTGTAGTGGTGTCTTGGTGTAGGGGTGTAGTGGTGTCTTGGTGTAGTGGTGTAGTGGTGTCTTGGTGTAGTGGTGTCGTGGTGTAGTGATGTAGTGGTGTCGTGGTGTCTTGGTGTAGTGGTGTAGTGGTGTCGTGGTGTAGTGGTGTCTTGGTGTAGTGGTGTAGTGGTGTCTTGGTGTAGTGGTGTAGTGGTGTCTTGGTGTAGTGGTGTAGTGGTGTCTTGGTGTAGTGGTGTAGTGGTGTAGTGGTGTCTTGGTGTAGTGGTGTAGTGGTGTCTTGGTGTAGTGGTGTAGTGGTGTAGTGGTGTCTTGGTGTAGTGGTGTAGTGGTGTCTTGGTGTCTTGGTGTAGTGGTGTAGTGGTGTCCTGGTGTCTTGGTGTAGTGGTGTAGTGGTGTCTTGGTGTAGTGGTGTAGTGGTGTCTTGGTGTATTGGTGTAGTGGTGTCTTGGTGTCTTGGTGTAGTGGTGTAGTGGTGTCTTGGTGTAGTGGTGTAGTGGTGTCTTGGTGTCTTGGTGTAGTGGTGTAGTGGTGTCGTGGTGTCTTGGTGTAGTGGTGTAGTGGTGTCGTGGTGTCTTGGTGTAGTGGTGTAGTGGTGTAGTGGTGTCTTGGTGTAGTGGTGTAGTGGTGTCTTGGTGTAGTGGTGTCTTGGTGTAGTGGTGTAGTGGTGTCTTGGTGTAGTGGTGTAGTGGTGTCTTGGTGTAGTGGTGTCTTGGTGTAGTGGTGTAGTGGTGTCTTGGTGTAGTGGTGTAGTGGTGTCGTGGTGTAGTGGTGTCGTGGTGTCTTGGTGTAGTGGTGTCGTGGTGTCTTGGTGTAGTGGTGTCTTGGTGTAGTGGTGTAGTGGTGTCTTGGTGTAGTGGTGTAGTGGTGTCTTGGTGTAGTGGTGTAGTGGTGTCTTGGTGTAGTGGTGTAGTGGTTTCTTGGTGTAGTGGTGTAGTGGTGTCTTGGTGTAGTGGTGTTGTGGTGTAGTGGTGTAGTGGTGTATTGGTGTAGTGGTGTAGTGGTGTCTTGGTGTAGTGGTGTAGTAGTGTAGTGGTGTCTTGGTGTAGTGGTGTCTTTGTGTAGTGGTGTAGTGGTGTCTTGGTGTAGTGGTGTAGTGGTGTCTTGGTGTAGTGGTGTAGTGGTGTATTGGTGTAGTGGTGTTGTGGTGTAGTGGTGTCGTGGTGTAGTGGTGTCGTGGTGTAGTGGTGTCGTGGTGTAGTGGTGTAGTGGTGTCTTGGTGTAGTGGTGTAGTGGTGTCGTGGTGTAGTGGTGTAGTGGTGTCGTGGTGTCGTGGTGTAGTGGTGTCGTGGTGTAGTGGTGTCGTGGTGTAGTGGTGTCTTGGTGTAGTGGTGTCGTGGTGTAGTGGTGTCTTGGTGTAGTGGTGTAGTGGTGTCGTGGTGTTGTGGTGTCGTGGTGTAGTGGTGTCATGGTGTCTTGGTGTAGTGGTGTAGTGGTGTTGTGGTGTAGTGGTGTAGTGGTGTCTTGGTGTAGTGGTGTCGTGGTGTAGTGGTGTCTTGGTGTAGTGGTGTAGTGGTGTCGTGGTGTCTTGGTTTCTTGGTGTAGTGGTGTAGTGGTGTCTTGGTGTAGTGGTGTAGTGGTGTCTTGGTGTAGTGGTGTAGTGGTGTCTTGGTTTCTTGGTGTAGTGGTGTAGTGGTGTCTTGGTGTAGTGGTGTCGTGGTGTCGTGGTGTCGTGGTGTAGTGGTGTCTTGGTGTAGTGGTGTAGTGGTGTCTTGGTGTAGTGGTGTCTTGGTGTAGTGGTGTAGTGGTGTCGTGGTGTAGTGGTGTCGTGGTGTCGTGGTGTAGTGGTGTATTGGTGTCTTGGTGTAGTGGTGTAGTGGTGTCTTGGTGTAGTGGTGTCTTGGTTTCTTGGTGTAGTGGTGTAGTGGTGTCTTGGTGTAGTGGTGTAGTGGTGTCTTGGTGTAGTGGTGTAGTGGTGTCGTGGTGTAGTGGTGTCGTGGTGTAGTGGTGTAGTGGTGTCTTGGTGTAGTGGTGTAATGGTGTCGTGGTGTAGTGGTGTAGTGGTGTCTTGGTGTAGTGGTGTAGTGGTGTACCGGTGTAGTGGTGTCTTGGTGTAGTGGTTTAGTGGTGTCTTGGTGTAGTGGTGTCTTGGTGTAGTTGTGTAGTGGTGTAGTGGTGTCTTGGTGTAGTTGTGTAGTGGTGTAGTGGTGTCTTGGTGTCGTGGTGTAGTGGTGTCTTGGTGTCTTGGTGTCGTGGTGTAGTGGTGTCGCGGTGTCTTGGTGTAGTGGTGTAGTGGTGTCTTGGTGTAGTGGTGTAGTGGTGTCTTGGTGTAGTGGTGTAGTGGTGTCTTGGTGTCGTGGTGTAGTGGTGTCTTGGTGTAGTGGTGTCTTGGTGTAGTGGTGTCGTGGTGTAGTGGTGTATTGGTGTCGTGGTGTAGTGGTGTAGTGGTGTCTTGGTGTAGTGGTGTCTTGGTGTAGTGGTGTCGTGGTGTCGTGGTGTAGTGGTGTAGTGGTGTCTTGGTGTAGTGGTGTCTTGGTGTCGTGGTGTAGTGGTGTCGTGGTGTAGTGGTGTAGTGGTGTCTTGGTGTCGTGGTGTAGTGGTGTCTTGGTGTAGTGGTGTCTTGGTGTAGTGGTGTCGTGGTGTAGTGGTGTAGTGGTGTCGTGGTGTAGTGGTGTAGTGGTGTCTTGGTGTTGTGGTGTAGTGGTGTAGTGGTGTCGTGGTGTCGCCAGTGACAGCGATTATCTGAACCGGTCCTGGGCCTCCCCTAGGTCGACTCAGCCTCAAATGAGTACCGAGCGTTGGATGTTACCAGGTAGCAAGGCCCCACTGAGATGTGTAGCCATCACTACACGTCATGACATCAGCTCAACCACGTGACTGACGTCATCATCGTCATCATCATCATCGCTCTGTGGACATAGACACCCATAGAGACCCACAGAGACTCATAGATACCCATAGACACCCATAGAGACCCACAGAGACTCATAGACACCCATAGACACCCATAGAGACCCACAGAGACTCATAGACACCCATAGAGACCCACAGAGACTCATAGACACCCATAGACCCACAGAGACTCATAGACACCCATAGAGAGTCATAGACACCCATAGAGACCCACAGAGGACTCATAGACACCCATAGAGACCCACAGAGACTCATAGACACCCATAGAGACTCATAGATACCCACAGAGACTCATAGGCACCACAGAGACTCATAGACACCCATAGACCCACAGAGACTCGTAGACACCCATAGACACCCACAGAGACTCATAGACACCCATAGAGACCCACAGAGACTCATAGACACCCATAGAGACCCACAGAGACTCATAGACACCCATAGACCCACAGAGACTCATAGACACCCATAGACCCACAGAGACTCATAGACACCCATAGACCCACAGAGACTCATAGACACCCATAGACCCACAGAGACTCATAGAGACCAATAGACCTACAGAGACTCATAGACACCCATAGACACCCATAGAGACTCATAGACACCCATAGAGACCCACAGAGGACTCATAGACACCCATAGAGACCCACAGAGACTCATAGACACCCATAGAGACCCACAGAGATTCACAGAGACACCCATAGAGACCCACAGAGACTCATAGACACCCATAGACACCCATAGAGGCTCATAGACACCCATAGAGACCCACAGAGACTCATAGACACCCATAGAGACCCATAGAGACTCATAGACACCCATAGAGACCCACAGAGACTCATAGACACCCATATAGACCCACAGAGACTCATAGACACCCATAGAGACCCACAGAGACTCATAGACACCCATAGACCCACAGAGACTCATAGACACCCATAGAGAGTCATAGACACCCATAGAGACCCACAGAGGACTCATAGACACCCATAGAGACCCACAGAGACTCATAGACACCCATAGAGACTCATAGATACCCACAGAGACTCATAGGCACCCACAGAGACTCATAGACACCCATAGACCCACAGAGACTCGTAGACACCCATAGACACCCACAGAGACTCATAGACACCCATAGAGACCCACAGAGACTCATAGACACCCATAGAGACCCACAGAGACTCATAGACACCCATAGACCCACAGAGACTCATAGACACCCATAGACCCACAGAGACTCATAGACACCCATAGACCCACAGAGACTCATAGACACCCATAGACCCACAGAGACTCATAGAGACCAATAGACCTACAGAGACTCATAGACACCCATAGACACCCATAGAGACTCATAGACACCCATAGAGACCCACAGAGGACTCATAGACACCCATAGAGACCCACAGAGACTCATAGACACCCATAGAGACCCACAGAGATTCACAGAGACACCCATAGAGACCCACAGAGACTCATAGACACCCATAGACACCCATAGAGGCTCATAGACACCCATAGAGACCCACAGAGACTCATAGACACCCATAGAGACCCATAGAGACTCATAGACACCCATAGAGACCCACAGAGACTCATAGACACCCATATAGACCCACAGAGACTCATAGACACCCATAGAGACCCACAGAGACTCATAGACACCCATAGAGACCCACAGAGACTCATTTACACCCATAGAGACCCACGGAGACTCGTAGACACCCATAGAGACCCACAGAGACTCATAGACACCCATAGACCCACAGAGACTCGTAGACACCCATAGACACCCACAGAGACTCATAGACACCCATAGACACCCACAGAGACTCATAGACACCCATAGACACCCATAGACCCACAGAGACTCATAGACACCCATAGACCCACAGAGACTCATAGACATCCATAGAGACCCACAGAGACTCATAGACACCCATAGAGACCCACAGAGACTCATAGACACCCATAGACCCACAGAGACTCATAGACACCCATAGACCCACAGAGACTCATAGACACCCATAGACACCCACAGAGACTCATAGACACCCATAGAGACCCACAGAGACTCATAGACACCCATAGAGACCCACAGAGACTCATAGACACCCATAGACCCACAGAGACTCATAGACACTCATAGACCCACAGAGACTCATAGACACCCATAGACCCACAGAGACTCATAGACACCCATAGACCCACAGAGACTCATAGAGACCAATAGACCTACAGAGACTCATAGACACCCATAGACCCACAGAGACTCATAGACACCCATAGACCCACAGAGACTCATAGACATCCATAGACACCCACAGAGACTCATAGACACCCATAGACCCACAGAGAATCAGAGACACCCATAGAGACTCATAGACACCCATAGACCCACAGAGACTCATAGACACCCATAGAGACCCACAGAGACTCATAGACACCCACAGAGACTCATAGACATCCATAGACCCACAGAGACTCATAGACACCCATAGAGACTCATAGATACCCACAGAGACTCATAGGCACCCACAGAGACTCATAGACACCCACAGACCCACAAAGGCTCATAGACACCCACAGACCCACAGAGACTCATAGACACCCATAGAGACTCATAGACACCCATAGACCCACAGAGACTCATAGACACCCATAGAGACCCACAGAGACTCATAGACACCCACAGAGACTCATAGACATCCATAGACCCACAGAGACTCATAGACACCCATAGAGACTCATAGATACCCACAGAGACTCATAGGCACCCACAGAGACTCATAGACACCCACAGACCCACAAAGGCTCATAGACACCCACAGACCCACAGAGACTCATAGACACCCATAGACCCACAGAGACACATAGACACCCATAGACCCACAGAGACTCATAGACACCCATAGAGACCCACATAGACTCATAGACACCCATAGACCCACAGAGACTCATAGACACCCATAGACCCACAGAGACACATAGACATCCATAGAGACCCTCAGAGACTCATAGACACCCATAGACCCACAGAGACACATAGACACCCATAGACCCACAGAGACACATAGACACCCATAGACCCACAGAGACAGATAGACACCAATAGACCCACAGAGACTCGTAGACACCCATAGAGACCCACAGAGACTCATAGACACCCATAACTACCCACAGAGACTCATAGACACCCATAGAGACCTACAGAGACTCATAGACACCCATAGACCCACAGAGACTCATAGACACCCATAGACCCACAGAGACACATAGACATCCATAGAGACCCTCAGAGACTCATAGACACCCATAGACCCACAGAGACACATAGACACCCATAGACCCACAGAGACACATAGACACCCATAGACCCACAGAGACAGATAGACACCAATAGACCCACAGAGACTCGTAGACACCCATAGAGACCCACAGAGACTCATAGACACCCATATCTACCCACAGAGACTCATAGACACCCATAGAGACCTACAGAGACTCATAGACACCCATAGACCCACAGAGACTCATAGACACCCATAGACCCACAGAGACACATAGACATCCATAGAGACCCACAGAGACTCATAGACACCCATAGACCCACAGAGACACATAGACACCCATAGACCCACAGAGACACATAGACACCCATAGACCCACAGAGACAGATAGACACCAATAGACCCACAGAGACTCGTAGACACCCATAGAGACCCACAGAGACTCATAGACACCCATAACTACCCACAGAGACTCATAGACACCCATAGAGACCTACAGAGACTCATAGACACCCATAGAGACCTACAGAGACTCATAGACACCCATAGAGACCTACAGAGACTCATAGACACCAACATCTCCTAGCCACACCCAAATATACAGCAGCAGGCGTCGTCAGGGTTGGGATCGAACCCACGACCTCCTGCAGACCGGGCGAGGTAGTCAACATCTCCCATGCCATCGTTAAGCTACGTGGGGGATCTTTGTTTATTCTCAATGGCTGTGGTCCCTGTGCCCACCCCCCGTGCAGGCCCAGCAGTTTGAGAGGGTCGCAGTGCGCACCGAGCGCCGGATGCTGTGGAGGAACCGTCGCATGAAGCTCATCATCGGCGCCATCATCGTCGCCATCGTCCTCATCGTCGCGGTCGCCATCGCGGTCGCGGTGCACAGGAGCGGCGATGGCGATGGCGGACAAGTTGGGCCCATCTCAACGCCCAGCCCTTGACTCTCGGGCCGTCGAGAGACACGGACGTCGTGGACCCCCCGGGAGACACGGCCATCGTGAACCCCACTAGGAGACACGGCCATCGTGGACCCCACTAGGAGACACGGCCATCGTGAACCCCCCGGGAGACACGGCCATCGTGAACCTCACTAGGAGACACGGCCATCGTGGACCCCCCGGGAGACACGGCCATCGTGGACCCCACTAGGAGACACGGCCATCGTGAACCCCCCGGGAGACACGGCCATCGTGGACCCCCCGGGAGACACGGCCATCGTGAAACCCCACTAGGAGACACGGCCATCGTGGACCCCCCGGGAGACACGGCCATCGTGGACCCCCCGGGAGACACGGCCATCGTGAACCCCACTAGGAGACACGGCCATCGTGGACCCCCCGGGAGACACGGCCATCGTGGACCCCCCGGGAGACACGGCCATCGTGAAACCCACTAGGAGACACGGCCATCGTGAACCCCACTAGGAGACACGGCCATCGTGGACCCCCCGGGAGACACGGCCATCGTGGACCCCACTAGGAGACACGGCCATCGTGGACCCCCCGGGAGACACGGCCATCGTGAACCCCACTAGGAGACACGGCCATCGTGGACCCCACTAGGAGACACGGCCATCGTGGACCCCACTAGGAGACACGGCCATCGTGAACCCCACTAGGAGACACGGCCATCGTGAACCCCACTAGGAGACACGGCCATCGTGGACCCCACTAGGAGACACGGCCATCGTGGACCCCACTAGGAGACACGGCCGTCGTGGACCCCACTAGGAGACACGGCCATCGTGGACCCCCTGGGAGACACGGCCATCGTGAACCCCCTGGGAGACACGGCCATCGTGAACCCCACTAGGAGACACGGCCATCGTGGACCCCACTAGGAGACACGGCCATCGTGGACCCCCTGGGAGACACGGCCATCGTGGACCCCCCGGGAGACACGGCCATCGTGAACCCCACTAGGAGACACGGCCATCGTGGACCCCACTAGGAGACACGGCCATCGTGAACCCCACTAGGAGACACGGCCATCGTGAACCCCCCGGGAGACACGGCCATCGTGAACCCCACTAGGAGACACGGCCATCGTGAACCCCACTAGGAGACACGGCCATCGTGGACCCCCCGGGAGACACGGCCATCGTGGACCCCACTAGGAGACACGGCCATCGTGAACCCCCCGGGAGACACGGCCATCGTGAACCCCACTAGGAGACACGGCCATCGTGAACCCCACTAGGAGACACGGCCATCGTGGACCCCCCGGGAGACACGGCCATCGTGAACCCCACTAGGAGACACGGCCATCGTGAACCCCACTAGGAGACACGGCCATCGTGGACCCCCCGGGAGACACGGCCATCGTGGACCCCACTAGGAGACACGGCCATCGTGGACCCCCCGGGAGACACGGCTATCGTGAACCCCACTAGGAGACACGGCCATCGTGAACCCCACTAGGAGACACGGCCATCGTGGACCCCACTAGGAGACACGGCCATCGTGAACCCCACTAGGAGACACGGCCATTGTGAACCCCACTAGGAGACACGGCCATTGTGGACCCCCCGGGAGACACGGCCGTCGTGGACCCCCCGAGAGACACGGCCATTGTGGACCCCCCAGGAGACACGGCCATCGTGAACCCCACTAGGAGACACGGCCATCGTGGACCCCACTAGGAGACACGGCCATCGTGAACCCCACTAGGAGACACGGCCATCGTGAACCCCACTAGGAGACACGGCCATCGTGAACCCCACTAGGAGACACGGCCATCGTGAACCCCACTAGGAGACACGGCCATCGTGAACCCCACTAGGAGACACGGCCATCGTGGACCCCCCGGGAGACACGGCCATCGTGAACCCCACTAGGAGACACGGCCATCGTGAACCCCACTAGGAGACACGGCCATCCTGAACCCCACTGGGAGACACGGCCATCGTGGACCCCCCGGGAGACACGGCCATTGTGGACCCCACTAGGAGACACGGCCATTGTGGACCCCACTAGGAGACACGGCCATTGTGAACCTCACTAGGAGACACGGCCATCGTGAACCCCACTAGGAGACACGGCCATCGTGAACCCCACTAGGAGACACGGCCATCGTGGACCCCACTAGGAGACACGGCCATCGTGGACCCCACTAGGAGACACGGCCATCGTGGACCCCACTAGGAGACACGGCCATCGTGGACCCCACTAGGAGACACGGCCATCGTGAACCCCACTAGGAGACACGGCCGTCGTGGACCCCACTAGGAGACACGGCCATCGTGGACCCCACTAGGAGACACGGCCATCGTGGACCCCACTAGGAGACACGGCCATCGTGAACCCCACTAGGAGACACGGCCATCGTGGACCCCACTAGGAGACACGGCCATCGTGAACCCCACTAGGAGACACGGCCATCGTGAACCCCACTAGGAGACACGGCCATCGTGAACCCCACTAGGAGACACGGCCATCGTGGACCCCCCGGGAGACACGGCCATCGTGGACCTCACTGGGAGACACGGCCATCGTGGACCCCACTAGGAGACACGGCCATCGTGGACCCCCCGGGAGACACGGCCATCGTGAACCCCACTAGGAGACACGGCCATCGTGAAACCCCTGACCGTTTCTCTCTCAGTGAGTTCACGGTGGCCGTGTCTCTGAGTTCACGGTGGCCGTGTGGCTGAGTTCACGGTGGCCGTGTGGCTGAGTTCACGGTGGCCGTGTGGCTGAGTTCACGGTGGCCGTGTGGCCGAGTTCACGGTGGCCGTGTGGCTGAGTTCACGGTGGTCGTGTGGCTGAGTTCACGGTGGCCGTGTGGCCGAGTTCACGGTGGTCGTGTGGCCGAGTTCACGGTGGCCGTGTGGCTGAGTTCACGGTGGTCGTGTGGCTGAGTTCACGGTGGCCGTGTGGCTGAGTTCACGGTGGCCGTGTGGCCGAGTTCACGGTGGCCGTGTGGCCGAGTTCACGGTGGTCGTGTGGCCGAGTTCACGGTGGTCGTGTGGCTGTGTTCACGGTGGTCGTGTGGCCGAGTTCACGGTGGTCGTGTGGCTGTGTTCACGGTGGCCGTGTGGCTGAGTTCACGGTGGCCGTGTGGCTGAGTTCACGGTGGTCGTGTGGCCGGGTTCACGGTGGTCATTTTAGATTCAATCTACTTGCAGAGTATGCCACCAATGCTATTAAGCTGAAGATTCACCCCCAGTATCCGCAATTCTTCGTGCCTTTTATGTGCAGAATGGTATCGTAAATGTACCTATCTGGTTTTCCACACTTTTTGTACATCCTGATATCTGGAATCGTGTGATATCCTGATGTCAAATCCTGGCATCTGGAATTTTAGTGCCAAACTTTCCTAATATCAGGAATTCTCTTATAAGCAATGTTGATTTCAAGAATATCTCCAATTATTTTAAAAAGCCAACCTCATATCTGGAACCCTGATACCTTGAACCCTGATATCTGGAATCCCTATGTGAATCCTGATATCTGGAATCCTATTAACTTCCACACTGTATAAAGATTGTTGTAGAGGTCACTGTATAATGATTGGTCGCTGAGTCCACCACAGTGTGATGGTGGTGGGGTAGAGTGTAGGTAACCTCCCCATGAGTCCACCAGTGGTCGTGGTGGTGGGGTAGAGTGTGGGTAACCTCCGCATGAGTCCACCAGTGGTAGTGGTGGGGTAGAGTGTGGGTAACCTCCCCATGAGTCCACCAGTGGTCGTGGTGGTGGGGTAGAGTGTGGGTAACCTCCCCATGAGTCCACCAGTGGTCGTGATGGTGGGGTAGAGTGTGGGTAACCCCCCCCATGAGTCCACCAATGGTAGTGGTGGGTAACCCCCCATCTCTTCCTCCCAGACTGCTGCCCCACTGTGGAAGAGGAGACAAAATACTCCTGTATAGCAGCCTCTAGTGGAGGCCACTTCCACCAGCAGTGAGCGAGTGATTGTAATTGATAGCACTTGTTTTCGTCTGAGTCTGCCTAGAGGTAGGGCAAAGCAGGGTTCACATTTCAGGAGTCCATGACTCAGCGCTTAGAGACTCGGGGTCTAGAGACTCGGGGTCTAGAGACTCGGGGTGTAGAGACTCGGGGTCTAGAGACTCGGGGTCTAGAGACTCGGGGTGTAGAGACTCGGGGTGTAGAGACTCGGGGTGTAGAGACTCGGTGTAGAGACTCGGGGTGTAGAGACTCGGGGTCTAGAGACTCGGGGTCTAGAGACTCGGGGTCTAGAGACTCGGGGTCTAGAGAATCGGGGTGTAGAGACTCGGGGTGTAGAGACTCGGGGTGTAGAGACTCGGGGTGTAGAGACTCGGGGTGTAGAGACTCGGGGTCTAGAGACTCGGGGTGTAGAGACTCGGGGTCTAGACACTCGGGGTGTAGAGACTCGGGGTGTAGAGACTCGGGGTGTAGAGACTCGGGGTCTAGAGACTCGGGGTGTAGAGACTGGGGGTGTAGAGACTCGGGGTCTAGAGACTCGGGGTCTAGAGACTCGGGGTCTAGAGACTCGGGATGTAGAGACTCGGGGTCTAGAGACTCGGGGTGTAGAGACTCGGGGTGTAGAGACTCGGGGTGTAGAGACTCGGGGTCTAGAGACTCGGGGTCTAGAGACTCGGGGTCTAGAGACTCGGGGTCTAGAGACTCGGGGTGTAGAGACTCGGGGTGTAGAGACTCGGGGTCTAGAGACTCGGGGTGTAGAGACTCGGGGTCTAGAGACTCGGGGTGTAGAGACTCGGGGTGTAGAGACTGGGGGTGTAGAGACTCGGGGTGTAGAGACTCGGGGTCTAGAGACTCGGGGTGTAGAGACTCGGGGTGTAGAGACTCGGGGTGTAGAGACTCGGGGTCTAGAGACTCGGGGTCTAGAGACTCGGGGTCTAGAGACTCGGGGTCTAGAGACTCGGGGTCTAGAGACTCGGGGTCTAAAGACTCGGGATGTAGAGACTCGGGGTGTAGAGACTCGGGATGTAGAGACTAGGGGTCTAGAGACTCGGGGTGTAGAGACTCGGGGTGTAGAGACTCGGGGTGTAAAGACTGGGGGTGTAGAGACTGGGGGTGTAGAGACTGGGGGTGTAGAGACTCGGGGTGTAGAGACTGGGGGTGTAGAGACTCGG